CCATGGGGCTGGATGGTCCACTCACCGATCTGCCTTGGAAGGCGCAATTCTACTAATGCCTCCGCATCGCACAATCCACTTGCCACTCCTGGCAGGATGCGGGAGGACAAGCCTCGCTGGAAGGTTGAAGAGTGGTGAGCGGATCGTGCGCTGCTGAGCCATTTGTAGAATTGCAACATCCGCGTCCGTGGCGGATCGGTGAGTGGACCCTCGTTAACGCCACCTGTGCGGGGATATTTGTATACAAATACCCCCATATCTAGACAGAATATATAGAAAATAAAGAAGATTGTGATGATAAGTGAAAAACTGATATGTTACATGTGTGAAAGTGGAAATGCTGTTTTCTCAGTCAGCATTGTTTTTCAGTTTTAGCTGTTTTAGGAAGTACTTGATGAAACAAGTGAGATATGGTAGTATTATTTCAGAAGCCTTCTTCTACCAATATTCTGGTTAGTTTTTCCTAGCTGCTTTACTTCAAAAGTAGTCTATATTTTCAGGAAAATCACTTGTATGTATATTGATTATTTTTTATTGTTTAGTCTAGTAGTTGTTGAACTAACTTCAGTATAATGTTTTACCTGTATTACGATACAAAATATACCAGAACTGTTATGGTATAACACTTCCTTTTGAAAGAAGAGTCTGCTGTAGGTTGAATCTGGCAACATAAAACTACCATTACTCAATTTATGCTTGGCTGAGCAGTAGCATGTCCAAAACATGAAATTTTTAATGTCTTTAGCCGTGGGGTGCGCACAGCAAAAAAAAGAAAAGAAAAGAAAAAGAAAACAAGTTCTATGGGAAGATTTTCCCTTTTTCTTCTAAAAGTTAATATTTCATTTTAAAGGAAAATTGCACCCACTTCACTGAGCGTGACAGTCTGAAAACTCCTGCAGTGAGAAGTCCTTCTTATCTTCTGTAAATTGTGATGCTTTCAGATTATGTTGTCACTTTGTGGCCTGTTGCCATTTCATTGAAAACCAACATTTCTTTATGTAGACAGCAAAGAAAAGAATGTGAACTTTTTTCCTTTCTTTGATACAGGATTAGATGAATAAGTATTTCACTGTGTAAAACCAAAAATCCATTTGGTCATTAAGGCTGAGTGTCTCTTGTATGAGACAGTTGGCATGGCAGTAGACTGAGAAAGTATTAAGGGGTATTTTAAACAAAGAATATTTATTGCCATTATAGAGCATTTGATATCACAAGAAAGAAAATATAAACATTAATTAACATTAGGACTGGTTGCCGTAATAGGTTATTCAGTCTTTGCTTCCTTCTGAGTATCCCTACTCCTATCTGCATACCTTAGAAAATTATGTACAGTGGTGCCTTGACTTACGAACTTAATCCGTATTGAAATGGTGGCCGTAAGTCAAAACGTTCATAGGCCAAAGCATCATTTCCCATAGGAATGCATTGAAAACTGATTAATCCGTTCTGGCTGAAGAAAAAATTACCAAAAAAAAAAAAAAAAAAAAAAAAAAAACAAACCAAGTCCCCCCCTGGGATTGCAAAAAAAAAAAATCACACACAAAAAAATTAAAATAAAACACCACAAGCCCCTGGGGCTGCAAAAAATTAAGCAAATCCAAAAATAAACAGAAGCATAACCCCACCAGCCCAATCCCACCCTGCAAAAGCCCCAAAAACAGTTTAAAAGCAGCACCTTACCTCACCATGAGGCCTCCTCTGAGGCCTCCCAGCCATGGACAGCCACGCAGGCTCCACCACTGCCAAAACCGCGGTCAGCGGGAGCCCTCCGGGACCCTACCCAGCCTTCCTCCACCGTGGCGCAGGCCCATGCGCCCAAAACCACCACCACCCCGTAACCCCCCCGGGAGCCTACCTGGCCTTCCTCTGCTGCTGCGCAGGCTCACCGCCCCCAAAATCACCATCAATGGGAGCCCTCCGGGAGGCATCCCGGGCTGCCACCGCTGCCCAGCTGGGATGGGTCCTCGCCTCCTGGCCTGAATCTGGTTCCCAGAGTCTGGCCAGGAAGCGAGAAGCGCAGGCGAACCCAGTACTTCCTCGCCTCCTGGCCTGAATCTGGTTCCCGGAGTCTGGCCAGGAAGCGAGCAGCGCGGGCGAACCCAGTACTGGGAGCCAGAGCCCAGCTGGGATGGGTCCTTGCCTCCCGGCCGGACCACCACCACCACCACCGCGCCACATCCCTTTTCCTAGCTGTTGGGGCGAAAGAGCTACAAAGAAGCAGCCTCTTTTGCCACCTACAGTTAGAAATGTGAATTTCACGCCTTTTCCCCCCTGCCTTTTTCCATTCGTAGGTCAAAGCTCCGTCCGGAAGTCAAAGCAAAATTTTGCCGCCAGAGCTGTCTGTAAGTCAAATTGTTTGTAGATCAGGGCGTTCGTAAGTCAAGGCACCACTGTACTTATTTGATTTCCCCCTGCATTTCTCCCCTAGTAGGGGACAAAGGCAATACCCCAAAAAATTATAATCAACAACTAATTAAAACAAACCAATTAACATTTTAACCAATAATATGCAGATATTGAAAAATTATAAATCAGATTTCAAAAGGCATTCTCTGAAATTGCTTGCTGTTTTATTTCATTTTAAAAACAATTTAATAAAGGTATAACACCTAAATTATGGAGATGCACCCCTCCCATGCTTTGTGTCCAGAGACTGATGAAAACGCGCATGCACACGCACACACACATACATATATATCTTAGAACTTGCCTTTCTCCTCAAGAGGATCAAAGGTGGTTTGCAATATTAAAAACAATATAAAAACTGGAAGGGAGAGAGAAAAACAAACACAAGAACACAACAGCAGCCCAGCCAGTCACTGTGAAAAAGTCCTCCTGAAAATAAAGGTCTTTGCTTGCCTATGGAAGGACAGCAAAGAGGTGGCCAGTCTGACAGAGTTTGGGAGCAGTGACAGAGAAGGCCCTCTTTCATGTCCCCTCTCTGCCCTGACACCTGTGAGGATGGCAGGGCAGAGAGAAAAGGCATATCAGCACCAGTAGTATTGCAGAACATGCCCTGCTCCTGCCACAGACCTGGAAGCAGCCAGAGAACTCACTATGGCAAATGGCCAGCCCTCCAGAGCAGGTTAGGGGGAAGGAGCCGGCCTCAGCTGTTCCACCAGTATCGACCACAGCATCCAGCCCTTACTCTCCTGTTACTACTTTTAATTTGCATCCTTCAAACAAAATTAAAGGCCAGTAATTAATAACTGTGCTTTTTAAGCTAAACATACTACAAACAGAGTTGATATTGCTCTTAATATCAGAATGTGAAAGATAGTATCACACAGATGAGGTATTATTTCAAATAAATTCCAGTTCTACCTGAAGGACAAAAAAGTTTTCACAGACAGGGTTACCTGGTTAATTAAGAACAACGGATCCAGTACATGCAGAGTCAAACTTCTAAAAAGTCCCACTGATTTCAGTGCGCTAATTTTAGGCTCATTTAAATCTCCCATGAAATCAGTTCTTATGTTTCTAGTGTTCACTGACAATAATTAACTGTGGAAATCAACTCATTGACTTTTAATATAGAATGAACTCCATGTTTCACATTTGGAGCTGGAAAGCATTTAAACCAAATGCTGCAGAAGACTACTTTTATAGGTAGCTTAATTCAGGCAATGTGTTGTTAGTTTTCTGCCAGTTTAAGAACTCAGCAGACTAAGATGCTGGTTTACAAAATGGAAACCAGAGAACAGTATCAGCGCTGCCAAGTGGAAAGGCACATAGTGCACTTGAGAAGTATTGTTGGCTTTATGTTTTCCTCAGTGGAAAGAGAAGGGCTCTTTCTTGAGGCAGGCAACAAGGTGGAGTTTTCCCTTGATTTGCACTTCCCCATCCAGTCCTCAGAGTCACTTGTCACACTGTAGCCCTCAAACATCTGGCACTGAATAGAAAGTGGTCCTGAACTTTGCAAGGGGGAAAGATAATGGGAGAAAATAACTGCTCTGTCCCTATCTTCCAATACTAACAGAGCTCCATAGAATAATTTGATTCAACCTTGTAAGATAAGAACATAAGAAGAGCCCTGCTGGATCAGGCCAAGGGCCCACCTAGTCGAGCTTCCTGCCTCTGGGAGCACATGAGACAACTAGAAAGTGGTTGGACACATATGACACCAAATATTTATCTCAGTGGTAAGGAGTTCGATCCTGTTCATCAGCACTCCAAGCCTGAAACACCCAAGAACCCAGAACCCTGGATCTACTCACATCAGAGGTGGATAAAGTGGCTTCCCCTAGATATTTTGGATTACATCACCTGGTTACTGGCCATTTTGGCTGGGATTTATGATAGCTGTAGTCCGAAGTATTTGAATGAAACTATAGCAAGGGCCTGCTTTTTGGTTTAGAGGAGCATCCAGGAGCAGCAGTTCTCCTTTTGTGAATTTAAAATACAAATGTTGCTGAGGAAAGAGCCTGAAGGGGATCCAGAGGCTACAAAAATAGGCCATATTTATAAAACTTGTTTAAATTATATTTTTTTACCAATTTTTCAATGAGCAATGCCAAAAAGGAGATTTGGCAAAAAAAAAAGTTTAGACCTCTTCAAATCTAACATTGTTTGTTTTAAACCTATAATGTCGGGGGTGGGAGTTATTTTCTGATGTTTCTTGAGGTATTTTAAGGTGGAAGGTCAAGTGATCATTTTGGTTGGGGGATTTCTTGTATGTTACATGTAAAATGCATAATTTAATATAAACTATTTGTGATAGGCATCATCATATACTTACTTGCCTTCTGAGATCCAAAGTTCATCAAAATGGACAAAACATAAATAATAAACTTGGGAGTTTGGGCCCTTTTATAAATAAGAAAAAACTACAGCATGTGATAGAATGTATTGTTTGTGCCTGAACTAGTAGCCTTCATTCCTGACTGTTGTGTGATAGCTTTAGTTTAACATCCTCTCTTTTGTCACTGTTGTGAATTTCTTACTCTCTTTACTCTTCTTGTCCCTACCCCAAATCTATTTTTGAAATGTCTTTGCTTTAGAAATCAAGTTCCTCCACCACAACTGGAGAGAAGATCACAAAAATGTATGAGCTAGGAAATGAACCAGAGCGCAAAATGTGGGTGGATCGCTATCTCAACTTCATGGAAGAGAGGGGGACACCTGTGGCTAGTTTACCTGCTGTAGGCAAGAAGCCCCTGGATCTTTTCAGACTTTATGTCTGTGTTAAGGAGATTGGAGGTTTAGCCCAGGTGAGATAAAATTAATTGCCTTTTAATTATATCGTATATGTTTGTCACTGCAAGAGAAGGGGAGAGCACACTCAAAATAGCACTGCCTTTGCTCAGATATAAGCTCTTATGGCAAGTCTTTAAGTTAAAACACACACACATCTGCCCATTGCTCTTGTGCTTTCCTTAAGTAAGGAGGAGAAAATAAAAGACTGGGACTTGTGTTAAACTTTTAAAAATTCACTGTGTGTAACTTCAAGGAAAGGTAAAATGTTTATGAAAATGTTGACAATGTGTTGTTACTTGACCTCCTGTCTTACAAGATTTATCAACCTAAACAAATGCAGGAATGAATTACTATATACTGTATGTGTATATAATATTTTTCAGTGACACTTTCGTTAATTGTGACAGTAATCTGTAATGAGGGGTTGTTTAGTAACAAGCATGAAAGTAAACGTAAGAGTGAATTTCAGCCGTGTCAAATAAAGGGAAAGGGTGAAGAATAAAATATGTTGTGAACTGAAGCAGCTCTTTTCTAAGGCCATTATTGCAGTACATCTACTCGCTCTTACCACAAAAGAAGGGACTGCAGGATATGGTCTGTAGCTGAGTGATGTCTTGCCTGCTCATCAGTGACAGTGCTGATAACACCAACAAGCATTTATCTTGGTTTGGTTGCTGCTAGTCACACCATTTCCTTGGGTGGCATCATCCAGAGGAACTAATGTCTCTTATATCCCATTGGGTGATGTCACTCAAGCAACCCAGACCTGACAAATTGTCTACCTTGCCAGCTCTCTTTTCTGTTTTCCCTGTCATCAGCCATCATCATTGTCATATGCTGTCAAGTTAATTCTGACTTAAAGCAGCTTTTCCAGGGTTTCTAGATACAAAGTACTCAGAAGTGGTTCACTTCTTCCTTCTTGTGGTACCTTCCTTCTTGTGGTACCCTGTGACCATGCATCTTTCCCAAGGTTACACAGGTGGCATGGCACTTAGCCCCATCAGCCTTGGGGTGTGTATGGAATCTCACCTCCAAGGAGGCAGGATGGTAATTCGGAGACTCCAACCCTAAATTCCTTAATATTGGCTCTCCTGTCTCACAGCATCTTTGGACTTCACTTCCTCTCTGAGAGTTTCCAGATACAAATTCTGAGGCAATTGGTATGCAAAAAGAATTGCATGAGCCTTTAAAAATGGTAATTTGTGGAATTGGTTTCTTTTTTAGCTCCTGAAATACTATGAAATACATTGAGGAAATTTATGGAAAGGTTTCTTTTTCCTATTCTTCACTCTGTTTTACCACTTTGTCTAAGGACCACTGCTCTTCTAGGTTTATTGGGCACTTCCTTGAAGGCCGTATATACATTTGCAGAAGCTACAACCATTGATAATGTCTTCTATTTTTACAGCTTACATAAAACAAGAAACTCTAACTATATGGGATGAAATCTGATTAGTATTTGATTCCAAAAGGCAATTTGGCTTCCATAGCTTTGAGAGCTTCATGCAAAAGAGAGTTCAGATTGAAGCTGTTAAGCTGACTGTAATCCTGAACATGCTTATTTCTAAATAAATTTCACTGAAATCAATGGAACTGATTTTCAAGCAAATATCTGTAGGAATAGAATTCCCATTTAATTTGTCAGCCAACATATTTTCTAGAGCAATATTGCATCGAATAAGTTCTGTGTGACATACTGCCCACTTGACAAATCACTCAAGGTGGTTCTGTTCAATTTAATTTCATCAATAAGACAGAATACTTGTATTTCAGCCAATTTTAGCTCTGTGATTGAGCACCTAAAAATCCCCACTCTGTATTGTGAGGGGAAAAATCTGTGAGAGAAATCATTCAGTATGGTTTTGTGTGCCAGCAGGGCAAACACTTGTATAACAATAATTACTTCAGCACACTTTTCCAGGACAAAAAGCAAAACATACATTTGAGTATGCAATGATGTCTGAACATTCATGTCTATTTCATCATGTGCATATGTGTTTGGAAGCTGTTACATACTATAGCTTTTGAGTATATACATTTTCCTACATATTGAGCTGCAAAAAATTGTCATACATACAGTCTTTAGAGTGCAATATTATTCCCATTAGTTGGAAGACTTGCAATTAAAACACTCACAGAATTGTTCCAGTGCATTCAAAATAAATTGTAATTCATATTGGAGATTACTGATCTCCCTTACAAAAGGCCCTGGACTTGTAGCACTTCAATGGGGAATTATTGAGTAGACAATGCTTTAGCTCCTGGCTATTTTTAGGGAGAAACTGCCATTCATATCTGTGTCAAAGTGCTTAAATAGTGAAATAACAGCCTTATTATTGCCATGTTAAATTAGTTTTTTGAAGCTGTTTTTCTATTAGTGCCTCAGTATACATTTGTGTGTCAGAGCAAATGAATACATATTAGATGGAAGATAAATTGCTTCATTGCACATCATAGCCCCCCCTCCCCAAAGTGTAAAGAACAGAGAAATGGTATCAGATAGAAGATGCTTCCTTACAAACAGCACATTTTGCGTAACTATCAGCAGGTTCTTTAATGGCTTTATAAGTGTAAATGCTGTTTCTGCATTACTGACTGTGGGAGTAATGAGCATTAGTTAAAAGACTCAACAACAACAAAATTACAACATTAAGTGTTTGAGGTTTTGTTTTGTTTTGTTTTTTGTCTTCTGTCTTTAATCAGTCCACTTTACTGCAGTCCACTGATTCTGCTACGGTATTTATATATGCATGTATTTATTTGCTAGGTTAATAAAAATAAGAAGTGGCGTGAGCTGGCAACTAACCTAAATGTTGGCACTTCAAGCAGTGCAGCTAGCTCCCTGAAAAAACAATACATTCAGTACCTGTTTGCCTTCGAATGCAAGATTGAACGAGGGGAGGAGCCGCCACCAGAAGTCTTCAGCACTGGAGATACCAAGAAACAACCTAAGATTCAGCCTCCATCTCCTGGTAAGTAGAGGAACTGCAGAAACATAGGCTGTAATTTCCTGAAGGAGATGGATTTACAGAACAGCCCTTCTGAGCCTGTTACAGATGGATATTCCTGATGAACTTGTCACACTCTTGAATTAAATATACCTTAGCTGTCTTTGGCAACAGATAGAAACAGTTGCTTTGAAAGAGATTGCATATGCTTTCCTATTGACATTTGCAAATATATGCCTTGTGTACACCTACACTGTCATCATTTGTTCGCCTCTCTTCTGTAAAAAAAAAAGGGGGGAGGGGGAATCAAGCTGATATTTAGTTTCAGAAAATGCTGTAGGAGTTTTGATGCAGATTTAACAAAGAAAATGCATTGCAGTTTGTTAAATCAAGCATTTGTGCACAAGTTAAAGATCTATTGGAGAACTCTTTAAACCTAATGGTAAAAAGTAGAAGAGGAGTATTTGACATCCTTTCATTTACTATGAATCTGAAATAGAATCGCACTAGTAGCAGGCCTGTGAAATGGTTATAGTAAAGCACATTATAGTACTATGTGTTTTACTTGTGAATAAAGCTTATAGTATAGAGAACACCAGTATGTTTACAGGGGACATATTTTATTTGTTTTTGTGGTGAGAGCAGAATTACTCTGATGTTGCAGAAAAGTCAGGGTAGCAAAGGAGATTTTCGTTCTGAAGGAAGTAGAGATCTGGATGAGTACAGAAGGCAGGCATCTTAAAGAAATCACTACCTAAAATAAGTGGCTTGTCACCAGAACAGAATGGCTTCTCCACACACACACATTTTTTAGGTGAGGTATACCCCTTGTTCATCCCACAGGCCACACCTTCTATGTGAGAAGAGAGCATAGACACAAATAGGAACTGGGAGGGGGGGAGAGGTGGCAGGAGAAGGAAAAGGGAATGATGGGAACTGGGAAAAGTTCCTGAAGAAAGAGAATATATTGAGAGAAATGGTTTAACAGAAATGTCAGCATCTGAAATACCTGTTTTGATTTGTTTCATATATAATGCAGTATATAAGGAGTTGTAAATGTAGAAGAGAATCAGAAGATGAACTAGAAATCCTGTCCTGTTACAGCAAAGATGTTCCCATATTTGAATCGATATATCCCACAAACCTTAGGTCCTGGTGCTGGAACTGCCTAGTTTTGGAGAATTTTCCATAAGCAAGAAGAATCAATGTTCAGCATTTTCTTTCCCAACCAACTAACCCAGTATTTCATTCTCATCACCGCTGTTTACATTTCTGTACTCTGTTGGCAGCATGAAGCAAACAAATTTTGTGCAGAAAATTTTGCTTTACTTTTAAATTTTTAAAATTGTGCATAGTAGTAGTTGAGGTTATGTGTCATCAAATTGTTTCCAACTTATGCAGCCCTATGAGCGATCTCCAAATTGTCCTGCCTCAACAGCCCCAGTCAGTTTATCTTTTAATAAATGGTGAAGCAGAGAAATGTCAGAGTTTGCAATTGTAAATGAACAAATCAGCAACATTGATTTCAAAGAACATCTGTTTGGGCAGAATGGAAACTCTTTTTTTAAAAAAAAACAGTAATACAGTACGGTTTAAGGATCAGAAATGGAAGTTTTGTTTTGTTTGGCGAGTAGAAAAGAGTGTGCATGAATTGCAGGTTTATAGCAAGAAAAGCTTTCTCTGGGTGGAAAAATGTTAGTGCAATATGAACAATCCTGGTAACACAGAAATTTTGTGCAATCTGTAAGGACTGTGCTTCTAATTATAAGCATTTCTTCTTTTCAAACAGTTTATTGACCACTTAATATTTTTAATTGCACAGAAGAACTCATGTTACAAATCAGGTTGGCTGATTCTTTGTTTGCTTTTGGAGTAAAAAAAAAAGGTACTATCAACCAAGGACAGGAGAAAGAAGATGGTCAGTATTTTGATTTATACTCCTTTGAAGCGTGATTAAATCTTGCAGAGTCAATGAACAAAGAGATTTCTCATGAGCATACGGCAAATGAAGTAAAGGTTTTATATGCTGGACAAAATAATATTCTTCATTTTCCTCCTGCCAAATTAATTAACTGGATTTTGCATAAAATCAAATTTCACTTTATTTTTTTCTAAACGATTACATTTGTATATTTTCAATCCTTGTTCACCCCCAAAAATATTGTGGAGTAAAGCAGGTATTGTCACATACAAGACTATTATGGTCAGAATCTCATTGCTGAAATAAAATTTCATAAACAAAATTGCACAGATTTGGGCACCAAATTGCTACTTGTTAACAAGTTGCTGATTTAATTTATGGGTGACTTTATCATTTCTCATTTATTTATGAATTTTCATTCATTTATTGAACGTATGTGTCACTTCCTACCACCAAAGGGGTACCAAAAAGTCTTACACAAAAGGGACAAAAAGAAACATTATAAGATAATTCAAATTCAGCAAAACTCTGAGCAGCAATTGATACCACTGATCATGGTATTCCAAGAATGCAGTGGAATCCCGTTCACTGTGGGGAAGCTGTTGGAGACTGCAGAATGGAGGTTGGGGGAATATATTTCATTTCTGAAAATTGCCATGACCAGGATGATTTCGTAAACACATCACGCACACATACTTCTAGTCTTGTGCCCCCCCCCACAGCTTCCACATGATGAAATGGATCCCATGGCAGCCTTATGACCTTGGGAATCAGAAACTTTTAATTTCTGAAAAATCACTAGGGCTAATGGTGTTTTCAGCCTTATGCAGCATAGTTATGCAAAGAGGTTTTCACCAAGTGATTTTGCCAGGAGGAAAGTGGAGAGCATAATTTAGTCCAACATATACCGTCTTTTTCCATGCATAAGATGATACCTTTGTCTAAAATCTTTAGACTAAAATTGAAGGTTGTCTTATACACGGAAGTAAGCTGAGGAGAGACCTGCATGATTGCGAAACTGCCCATACCTTGCCTCTACAAACAGGCTTCTTTCAATCACTAGCCTCCAATCATCAGCCTTATGTAACTGATGTCAGCTGATGCTGAACAAACCAGTTGGAATATACCTCTTTGGAGGTGGAGCATGTAGGCAGTGCTCAGATGCAACAGGGACTGGTTATGTCCAAGCATTTTGAGCCCAGAGGCTGAATAAAGTGATATGCTCAAAGTTAAGTGTGATGCATAATATGACAGTGCTGGTATGTAAATGTTACCTTTAGATTAGGCATCCTTCAGTTTCTAGAGACTATGGTAACGTGCACTGAATGGAAGACTTGGAACAGCATCTAGCGTAGCTAAGGAGGCCAATTTGAGAGTGACAAATGAGAAGCCAGTTTGAGAGTGACAACTTCCACACTGAAGACAAATACAATCTGTCCCCTGTCCAGCTCCCTGATTTTGCTGCTTTCAGGACTGCCTCTTGGACAGGTGTTTCTTTAAACTGGGAGAGGCCGTGATGCACCATCTGCCTGTAGGCTGAATGCTCAGATGTCAAAGTTTCCCATCTGTTGAAGTCCATTCCTAAGGCCTTCGGATCCCACTTGCAGATGTCCTTGTATTGCAGCTGTGGTCTCCCTCTGGGGCACTTTCCCTGCACTAATTCTCCATACAGGAGAGCTTTTGGAATCCAACCGTCAACCATTCTCACGACATGCCCAAGCCAACGTAGACGGCGTTGTTTCAGTAATGTATACATGCTAAAAATTCCAGCTCATTCTAGGACTCCTCCATTTGGAACTTTGTCCTGCCCAGTGATACCAATCATGCATTGGAGACAACGCATAGGGAACGTGTTCAGCTTCCTCTCCTGCAGTGCACAACAGGTCCAGGACTCACTGTAGTACAGGAGTGTACGCAGGACACAGTCTATAGACCTGGATCTTGGTATATCCCGTCAGCTTCTTATTGAGCCATTCTCTCTTTGTGAGTCTAGAGAACATGGTAGCTGCTTCGCCAATGCGTTTATCCAGCTCGACATCCAGAGACAGGGTGTCAGAGATTGTTGAGCGAAGCTACACAAAGTTATGAACAAACTCCAATTCTTGCGTGGAGATGGTAATAGAGGGAGGTGAGTCCACGCCCTGGCCCATGACTTGTATTTTCTTCAGGTTGATTGTTAATCCAAAGTCTTGGCAGGCCTGGCTAAAATGATTCATGAGTTTTTGGAGGTCTTCAGCAGAATAGGCCCTGCTAACCAAATCAATGGCCTTTGTAAGATCTATGAAGCCCACAAAGAGTGGCTGTTGTTGTTCCCTACATTTCTCCTGCAACTGTCTGAGGGAAAATTCCATGTCAGTGGTGGATCTATTAGTTCGAAAGCCACATGAAATGTTACCTAATTACTAAATAAAATGTATTCTGTTTTATGTTTAAAATATTGATTTCTTAATTTGGGGTTAGAAAAGTAGGGAGGATGTCTTATACATGGGGCTTTTTATACGTGGAAAAATACAGTAAATCCTTTATTCCCATTCAGAAATAGCTGATGAGAACCCTAATTGATCATTGTTTTGTACAATTAGGTATGTTTTTAAAAAAAACAACAACAATGTTTTCAATTTCCTATTCTTTACGTTTTCTTTTCTTACTTCAAAACTAAAAGCTGGACTGCATAATCTGACTTCTAACACAAGTCCTTTTGCACAATTTTAAATATTAGTGGGTTCATAAACTGTTTGGAAAAAAGAAATGCTTACCATTAGAAGGCCAGAATCGACACCTTACCATAGTTTCATGTACTAAAGTGTGTATATTCAGTCTTCTAGCTGTGGGATACCTCAAGGTTCAGTATTGTCCCCTGTGCTCTGTAACATTTGCATGAAGCTACTGGGAGATCTCAATCCGTATAGCGATCCCTTTTTGGGGATCGCTATACGGATCAGCCCCAATCGCCGCACTCGCTTTGCAACGATTGGGGCTCCGGCGGCCCTTTTGGAGCCGCTGAACAGCTGATCGGCGGCTCCAAAATGGCCGCCGCATGACCCGAAATGGCCCCTATCAGTGTTTTCGCGCCCTCCCCTTGCTTACGGAGGTCGCGAAAACG